TTAAAGGCAACAATGGAAGAGAAATTGAGTGCAGAGCATTATTGGATTCCGGCTCCCAAGTCAACCTGATAACCGATCAAATAATTAAGAAGTTAGGTGAAAACCCGAAAAAGACCTCAGCATGTATAGAAGGTGTGGGGCAAAAAAAAAACAAGATGCGCAACAACGAATCAATTTAGCTTTCTCGTCCAGAATTAACGGATTTAGCAGCCGAATAGAGGCTTATGTATTACCTAAGATTGTGTGTGACCAGCCGAGCATTCATATTGAAAGCTCAAGCTGGAAAATACCACAGAACATCAATCTGGCAGATCCGTCGTTCAATACCCCAAACAAAATCGATCTCCTACTTGGAGCTGAGTTTTCTCATCAACTATTGTCCATCGGCCAAATAAACCTTGGCAGAGGTCTCCCCATCCTACAGAACACATTGCTTGGGTGGCTTGTGGTGGGAAAAATATCTAACCAAAATTCAATTATTTCACCACAAGTTTGTGGAATATGCTCTGAAGATGAGCAAGATACGATGAAGGTTATCGAGCGGTTCTGGCAACTGGATGAACCAGAAAAGGCAAACAAAAATCTGTCTCCTTCCGAAGAGTTGTGCGAGTCTCATTTTGCAACTTATATGAAAAGGAATCAAGACGGTCGATTCAGTGTCAGATTACCCTTCAAGCAAGATCCATCGTTGCTTGGTGAGTCAAAACACATTGCCATTAACAGGTTTTTAGCGTTGGAAAGAAGACTCGATAAGGATGTAATACTCAAAACACAGTATGTACAGTTCATGAATGAATATGCTGATCTCGGACACATGGAAAGGGTTGACATCAACCAAGTTAATCCTCATTATGTCATCCCACATCATGGCGTATTACGGCCCGATAGCAGCACCACGAAATTAAGAGTGGTATTTGATGCATCGTGCAAGACGAGTAGTGGACTATCGTTAAATGATACAATGTTTACTGGCCCTACAATTCAAGAGGAATTGTTTGCGATTTTACTTCGATTCAGGTGCCCAAGATTTGTCTTTTGTTCTGACATTCAAAAAATGTACAGACAAATTATTATTCAGCCCGAAGATCAAAGATATCAATTAATAGTCTGGAGAAGCAATAATAACGAACCCTTACAATTTTATCGATTAAAAACAGTCACCTATGGAACACGATCAGCCCCATATCTGGCTACTAAATGCTTACAACAGTTGGCGAAATCTGAGTTGCAAAAATATCCACTAGGTGCAGCAGCACTAAGTAATGACTTCTACGTAGATGATTGCCTAAGTGGATCAAATAGTCTCCAAACTGCCAAAGATATACAAACTCAGTTAAAAGGTTTGTTGGAATCAGCAGGATTCAAGCTACGTAAATGGTGTGCCAACCATCCGTCACTTCTTCAAAATATTGCAAAAGAAGATCAAGAAGTTGATTTGGACTTTCAAAGTGACGACGCAACATCAATCAAAACATTAGGATTGACTTGGCAACCAAAAGAAGATCAATTTCGCATAAAATTAAAATTGGATCCACTAAAAATCATTACTAAAAGAACCATTACTTCGAACCTAGCCAAAATTTTCGACCCATTGGGACTACTAGGTCCAGTACTCGTAACAGCAAAAATACTAATTCAGGACCTATGGCAACTACAATTAACATGGGACGAAGCAGTACCAACCGAAATATACACTAGGTGGACTACCTTTTATGACGATCTACAAGTACTAGATCAATTTAAAATAGATCGTCATATATTCGGAAAACAGATGCCAGCACTTGAATCAATACAATTGCACGTATTTTGTGATGCTTCACAAAAGGCATACGGAGCCGCAGTCTATGTTCGAGCGAAACTAATGGATGGTCGACTAATAAATCGATTGTTGTGTTCCAAGTCTCGTGTTGCTCCACTCAAAAAACAAACGATTCCAAGGTTAGAACTGTGTTCAGCTCTATTAGGAGCGACATTGATGAAAAAGGTTAAGAACAATATAAATCATGATGTAGCAACATATTATTGGACTGATTCAGAAATCGTTCTATTCTGGATCAATTCTTCATCAGCAAGGCATCAACAATTCATAGCAAATAGAATCAATGCAATTCAGGAAATTAGCTTGCCTAATCAATGGCGTCACGTAAGATCTAAGGACAACCCAGCTGACTCATTATCACGGGGTATCAAGCCAGCTCAATTACTCGAAAATAACTTGTGGTTATACGGTCCACTCTTTCTTCATGGTTCCGAAAGCAACTGGCCTGGCAAATTCAATAAAACTCTCTGTATTGATCCGGTGAATCCTGAATGGAAACAAACGACAAGGGAAGTGGCCTTAATCTCAACTGATTACGATATCCATTGGATCGATAGAATCAATCACAGGAATTCATTTAGAACTCTACTACATACGGTAGGATATATGCTGCGATTTGTAAATCGGGCAAGGCGAACCAATTTAAGCAATATCACTATGGCTCTAAGCCCTATGGAACTGGAGCTGTCACTCAGGCATATAGTGAAGTACATACAACAGTCAGAACTAAAAGAAGAATTAATTCAGTTAGAACGCAACCAAACAGTAAAACCTGCAAGTACACTTGCTGGACTGATGCCATTTTTAGATGAACACAAGATAATTCGCGTGGGGGGAAGGTTAGAAGCATCATCACTTACATATGATGAAAAGCATCAGATAGTCCTTCCATACAATAACCCTATTGTAAAACTGATAATGAAAGACATACATGAACGAAATATGCACTGCGGCGGTCAAGCACTGCTGGCAGCAGCGAGACAAAAATTTTGGCCGATCAAGGGTAAAATTATGGCAAGATCAACTATTCACCATTGTGTTCGTTGTACTAGATGTAAACCAGTTACTTTTGAACAAGTCATGGGAAGTTTACCAAGGCATCGAGTACAGCCAAACAGGCCATTTTTTAATACCGGAGTTGACTTCTGTGGGCCTTTTTGGGTGCATTATAAGGTGAGAGGAAAACGTCCGCATAAGGCATACCTAGCAGTTTATTGTTGTTTTGCGACAAAGGCAGTACACTTGGAACTGGTAAGCGACTTGACAACAGAAGCATTTATCGGATCATTAAAACGTTTTATCGCACGACGCGGATGCTGCCAAAATATATACTGTGACAATGCAACGAATTTTGTCGGTGCCTCTAACAAGTTGCAGGAATTAACAACAACAATCCATTCCAATGTAGCTCAGAAACAAATAACAAAAACTTGCAGCAACAAAGGAATAGCATTTCACTTCATCCCTCCTCGTGCACCTCATTTTGGTGGACTATGGGAAGCAGCGGTTAAATCAGCAAAGTACCTATTGGTCCGAAGCGTTTCAACTGAAACGTTAACGTACGAGGAACTCGAAACCGTCATTATAGAAATAGAAGCTATTTTAAACTCACGACCTTTAACACCAATGTCGTCTAATCCAAATGATTTGCAGGCTCTCACACCAGGTCATTTCTTAGTTGGTGATGCACTAACAGCACCCGTAGACGCAACATGTGAAAAGGTAAAATCATCTCTTTTGACTAGATGGAATCTGGTTGCACACTTAAAACAAGAGTTTTGGAAAAGATGGCTGGCAGAGTACCTAATGGAACTACAGGTTTGAAACAAGTGGCGTGAAGAATGCAAAAACATTGAAGAAAATACAC